ACGATTTTATTATGCCCAATTAACCAGTTCATAGCAGAATATTGACAAACGGGGCTATCAAAACGAATACAATGTAAACAATACTGTTTGGAGATGAACAATACTTTCGTCGTTTTAAATACCTTAAATCACTGTCCAAAGTAAACGAAGGGTTGTTATCTTGATGTACTTGGGATAGATTTGATTGAACGGGAAGAATAGGCACACTCCCTCAAAAGCTCAAGTATCAGAAGCCAATCCAGCAATGGCCAGAGAGGGATTCCTCGGGCCATTGCTTCAGGAATATGTGTGTAATACTTTCTTGTTCTCTCCTAAAAGGGAATCAAATTTATAAAATTCAGTTAATTACTTACCAAGCAGTTACAATCTACATATCTGACAATATTAAACTAAAATTTGAATATAAACATCTTGACTACTCTATATGCCGGCAATTTTCTTTCAGAAGATGTATTACATCATTCTTGTAGTTGTGGGTGTTATGGTTTTGCCATACAGATTTTATGGTTTTGCTGTGGCGCTGGATTCCAGACATCAACATGTAAGGAATTAAACGGACATTTGGACTGATCGGAATCTCTCTGACCCACCCACGGTACAGGTAAAGATCTATAAACAGTAAGAGCTTAGTTGCGTTCATAATAAAATTATCCAATGCACTCAACAATAAGTTGTAAAATTTTAAACACCTTATTTTTGTTCACATTTGTTTGTAGACAATCTAGGGGCCACAATTTTTATCCGATTTTGATAAAATATACCTTTATGCCTCACATATCTCGGATTTCGGTGCGCATCAGGCCTCAACTTCTGGGGTTATGGTCCTTGCCGTTTATGCAAAAGGTTAATTATTTATTTAGAACCTAATATATTTGTTAAGGATCAAAAGATCTTTATGAAGTTCGATTTTGGTAGGCACAAGGCAGCAACTTCTGGGGTTACGGCCGATGCCTTTCACGCAAAATGTGAATTGTACAAAGTTTGTATCTCAATTCTTGTCCGATTTAGATGAAACTTAAAACATATGTCAAAGATTGATAAAATAGGAAAATTTGGTTGCCTCAAAGTCTAAATGCTCGCCATTATTGTTCTTGTGCAGTTATGTGCTGCACTATTGTCTGCTTAGACTAAGTATAGACCAGCAGTGTGATTGCTGGATGTTTTACAAAAAGGTATATATACAAGTAAATGATATGTATCATCTGTTTAGTTTGTGATTGAGGTCCGGGAGGGGGGAGGGAGCATCAGCTTTGATTGTACTACGTAAGCTGGGTATATATTATAAACAAAGATATTATATTACTCATTTCAGTATGTTCGGCAGATATAGGTAGATGACCTCTTTGCTCACTTTTCTCCAGCCCTGAAGACGTTTGTGCTGGTCAGAGCTATATCGGCTGCAGAGCTTCGAATGGGAAATGTTACTTTAAAGGACAATATTGGTGCCAGTCATTATCACATATGTGTTAGAGCTAGTTAAACACATTCCAAATATATTTTTTTTAACACAGAGATCATTGCTACGATAGCTGAGTAATACAGGTTTCCCGTATCGGAAGTGACGAACGCCAAAGGAAAACACGAGTCACCGCTCTATATAACTGACTGAAGCGACGAGTGATAACATATACACGGCCGAATTTCTGCTCACTGATAATTCATTCGAAGACCAAAAGTTGTTGTGTGAGACTGCGAGAAGATATCTGACAATTCATAAAAAGAATTGACTGCCACTAGATAAGAGAACACGTAATAAAAACAGAAAAAGTCCGTGCATTACCATGTTTTTATAAGGTATAGAATGAATATAAACAAGGAAATGTACGGACTATTTCTATTTTTCTCCTGTTCTCTTATCTAATGACATTCAATTACTTTATTGAACTGTCAGATATCCACTTACTGTCCCATATAACAACTTTTGGTCTTGGAAGGAATTATTAGTGAGTAGAAATTCGGCCGTGTATCTGTTATCACTCTTCACTTCAGTCAGTTATATAGAGCAGCGACTCGTGTTTTCCTTTGACGTTCGTCACTTCCGATACGGGAAACCTGTATTACTCAGCTATCGTAGCAATGATCTCTGTGTTAAAAATAAATTTGGAATGTGTTTAACCAGCTCTAACACATATGTGATAATGACTGGCACCAATATTGTCCTTTAACGACCGCAAATGTGATACAGCTGAAACGTCCATCCTGGGCAACAAACAACCTTTTGTCAGCTTTCACTAGAACAGGTTCCCGAAAGATGAGTATTGGTCTATAGGATGCTAGTTGAAACCCAACAGCCCCAAGGGAATTACCAAGGATGTGTTTGCCATTGATGTTAGCATTCAGTAGCATACAGATGAATTAAAGTTAATAGCGTTCGAACAAAACAATATCATCACCATAATATATTCGAATCAGCTGAATGGAATGGTTGATAATGTAGTTGATAAATACTGAACAGAAGATCAAACGCAAGCCCCAGTTATTCGTAGACTTTTTAATTCGGCTTCTTCCCTGCATTAATAGTTTATACATGTATTTGCTGCTTTCTGTTAAATGTTAAAAATTGCAATAAATCAATATTTTTATGTATAGTGTTTTGTATTGTATTTGTTAAATTTAGTTACATTCAATACTCGGATTTGATATTTATAATTTCTGGTCCTTGTTCACAACAATTTATATCTCTTGAAATGGTTTGTAAATTTTAAGGGCCGGTCACACAGGCTTCCGCGAGTTGATCACGAGTGTATCGCGAGGAAGAACTGTCAAACGCGAAGTAAGCGCGGTCACAAGTGAATGACACGTGAATGAAACGTGGTGGACTCGCGAATAACAAGTGCGCACACGCGCGAAAAATTTTACACGCGCACGGAGTCCGATTTTATTTTTGAGCAGCACAAAAATTAGGCGCAACGGCCACCGCGTGTCGCACACGTGGTGTAAACGCTGTACAAACGCGGGCCAAACGCGATAACACGTGGTACACTCGCGGATCACAAGTGGACGACAAGTGGTCACTCGCGGGCAAACGCAAAATTTCTTCGTGTGACTGCGTGTGTAGCACTTGTCATCCACTTGTGATCCGCGTGTCTACAGCGTTCCTACCACCTGTGATAGCGTGTGCTCCACGTGTAAAAGGCTTCCTCAGGGATTGTGTCACGAGTCATCCGCGGGCCATTCGCGTGTTTTCGCGTTGAATCGCGATTGAACCACGACTGATTCGCGTGTCGTCCACGACCCAATCTCGTTTGTACCACTAGTTATTTCTGCTATAAAAAGATCGCGTGTGGGCCATTTTTCATCAGTTGTGATCAAGACGTTGAAGAGGCAACATGGATCCGGCGCATCGTAATGCTTTGGTTATGCTGTTCCAGCAACATCAGAACCAGCTACTTCAGGTTCAGCAAGCCCTGGATGTCAGAAGAAGAGTGAGGAGAAGACAAAGAAGAGTCAGAGCCATATGGGTGCGCCAATGGATCAACCGCAGGCCACAGCTGGGGCTGTATGACAGGCTGATGGTGGAGCTGAGGAACGAGGACCCCCGTGCCTTCAAGAACTTTATGAGAATGCCTCCGGTGATGTATGATGAACTGGTGGAAAGGCTGACACCAACACTGACGAAGGAGACAACCAATTGGCGAGCTCCCTTGGACCCAGGCTTAAAGGTGGCCATCACCTTGAGGCACCTTGCATCAGGCTCGAAATACAGGGAGATGCAGTATGGCTGGCGTGTCCCACACAACACCATAAGCCTCATTGTTCGTGAAGTTTGTGAGGCAATCGTGCATGTATATCGTGAGGAGATGCTGTCACCTCCAGAAACCCCCGAACAGTGGCAACAAATTACAGACGATTGGCTGAACAGGTGGAATTTCCCTCACGTGATTGGAGCTATAGACGGCAAACACATAGCATGCAAGGCCCCTCCCAACTCTGGCTCTGAATTCTACAATTACAAGGGTTTTTTCAGCATTATTCTCTTGGCTGTGGTGACCAGTGATTACAAGTTCTTATGGGTGGACGTGAGTGGCAAGGGGGCCTCATCAGACGCGCATATCTACAATGCCAGTGAGTTTAAAGAAGGCTTACAGAACGGTGACATTCTTGGATTCCCTCAGCCTACTCCCCTCCCAGGGGACACAGAAGATCTACCTTACTTCCTGGTGGGTGACGATGCATTTGGATTGAGAAGCTTTATGATGAAGCCCTTTGGGAACAGACAGCTATCAAGAAAACAAAGAATCTTCAACTACAGATTGTCAAGAGCAAGACGGGTGGTGGAAAATGCCTTTGGCATTCTTGCCAACAGATTCCAGGTGTTACTAACAACAATGATGCACCAACCAGACACGGTTAGGCTCATTGTCAAGGCATGTGTGGTCCTCCACAACCTGATGCGCACGAGGTATCCTGTCATGCAAAACAGACTTGTTGACATTGAACGCCCTGATGGAGCCCTGGTGCCTGGTGAATGGCGTCGAGGAAAGAATCTGGATGACACAAGACCTGAGAACCTACCAGGAACCAACAGAGACTACAAATTGGCCAAGGCTCAGAGGAATCTCATAATGGAATGGTGTTCATCCCCTGCTGGGAGTGTTGCATGGCAAGACAACATGCTCCTTGACTAGTTCTTGTGGAAGTGACAGTGTGGACAAATGATAGTGTTTGGGGGCATTGTGGCAGTATGTGTTTGGGGGGGGGGGGCAGCATTTGTGGCAATAAAACTTTGATAAAACTATTATATAATAAAATAAATGAAAAAAATCCTGCAATAAAATAAAGTACATTTCAAATTTGAAAAAAATAAAAGTAAGCTTAGGACCTTTAGTCCTAAACTCACTTTTATTTCTTTTCATTTGAGATGTAATTTTATTTTATTGCAATAATTTTAAAATTTATTATTTTCAATGTATTGTTACATTTGTTGCCATTCAATAATATGGTTATAAAATAAAAATGAAAGATTATTGGAATAAAAATATTTGAAATGACAAAGAAAAGAAGTTACATAAAGTATTTATTCAACTTTTATTTTTGACATTTGAAATACATTTTTGTTGCAATATTCTCCCACTTTCATTTTATTATAATTACAACTTCTAAGTCACATGGTGCAAATACTATTTTCTGATTGACTGAGATGCAACATACAATCCAAGTTCATTGGGCGATGAACAAGGTTTTGCAAACGGACTACTTTTCTACGGAGTAATTTTACTAGTTTTGTTCGCTATAAATCGATAAAATCAAATGAAATTTGTTGAGTTGTAATTACAAGAAATGAAATTAAATTTGTCGAGTTTACGGCGTGCGTTATACAAATAAGTGCACTTTTCCCCGACGTTCATCACGCCGTAAACTCGACAAATTTTAATTTCATTTCTTAAACCATTTCACAAAGTTCAATTTATTCACGAAAAACAATTAGTAACAGTTCAACAATTTTATTATCACGTATCACGTGTATAACAAGTGAAATAAAAGAAAGTCACTGCTAGCAATCCATGCTATGGCAAAAACAAAATACAAAATACATCAGTTCAAGGAATGTCACTGTAGCACCATGCACCACATCCCAACACAACAAAATACAACTGTCAGTGTAACATGAAACCTTCATGCATCCTCATCCTCACTGTAACTGTCACGAGTTCCCTGAGTAGCCACAGACTGAGTGTCACTCTCAACTGCTGTTGGTTCCACGGCTGGTGGTGTTGACAAGGATGGTGGTGCACCCAAAGCTGCAGATGCCAGAATGGGAGGTCGGTGAGTTGCTGGTGACACTGTCGAGAATGGTGGGGTGTTCATACTGTCTTGTGAAACACGGCCGAAGTTGCTCTGCTCCATGTTGAACGACCAATCCCCACCTAGGGCAGTGCTCTGTGCTCTGGGCATCGATTCTGAAGATGCTGTGTGTTGACGAGGAGTACTGAGGTTGGGTTGTTGAAGCTCTTGCTGCCCAGGGTACTGCTGCTGCTGTTGGTATCCTCCCCCTCCTCCCCCTACACCATGCTGCCAGGCATAATAGTTGGGCTGTGTCTGGAAGTACTGCTGATGCTGAGGGTACTGTTGATGGTACTGATGATACTGCCCAAAGGAGGCGGCTGTGCAAGTTGGAGGAGCCGAAGTGGAAGCTGAGGGTCTTTCAGATTGAGCCTTTATCTGTTTCAGTATATCCGATATGAGCTCTTTGACATTGTTGAAGTCTTGAAGACTGCAAGACCTGAGAGTCTGGGTGACATAGCTTATGAAGGGTTCACGCTGGCTCTTCTCCCTCTCCTTGTCCTCGAGCATTTTTTCCATCAGCTTTGCAAGGAGTGTTTGGTTGGTCTGAAGATTTTTACGAAGTTCGGGCATCCAGCTCTCCGCCTCGTCCTCCTTCCTCCTCCTCTTCCTGTGCTGGAAACTAGAGTTGACTGATCCGAGCTCTGCTGCCTCCCTCTCGAGGTCTTCGAGCACATTGCCTGACTGTCTCTCCGTCTCAGCTGGGTCATCCAAGGATAGCAGAGGGGGTCTTGCTGTGGACGTGGAGGCAGAACCAGCGGCAGAACCAGTAGTAGAGCCAGCAGCAGCAGTACGTCGGATCTGCATGACAGTGTCAGATTCTTCATCAGGTATGGCAGCTGAAAGAAGGTAAACGTTTGTTAAGTGTTTTGCATTCAAATTTTTCTGAACAATATTAAAGGACTGTTATTAGGGACAAGTGAATTTCTGAATAATCATTACACTAAATCGTAGTAATTATTATGTTTTAAATTTTAAAATTAAATGTACAAAAATGCTTTTGAAAAATGGAAATGTTTGAAATAATTATCAACATATGTACTGACCTTTGTAGAAGGAAATATTATTCAGCACCCACTTGTCCCTGTCGGTGAGAAGCTTGCGCTCCTGGCCACTGGCAACCTTGATCAGCCTGACGTACCAGTCCTTCAAGTTCTTCCACCAGTGCCCGAGGTAGTCAGTCGAGATACCAATTTCTTTTGCTTTAGCTTCCCAGGCTTCTGTCTTTTTCTTGTAGTCACGTTGACTGCGCATCCACAAGTAACTTCTGTCTCGCATCCACTCAACCAGATCCTGTTCTGTGTCAGGTGGCAACTTCCACTCCTTCTTGGGACCTCTTGGCTTTCTCGGCTTCTTGCCCTTGCCCTTGGCATGACCATCAGCCTCTTTCTGCTCCTCCACAGGCTCCTCTCGCACCAGAACTTCGGGTGTGGGGTCATGTGACGCAGGTGACGAAGGTGAGGCAGGGTTCTCCAGTGGCACAAGCTGTGGCTCAGCCTGAGTGGCGACGGGCATAGTGGCAGTGCTCTTAGAAGGACCACTCGTGCTGACTGGAGTGTTTGCAACTGTTGTACAAAATGAAAAGAGAAAATAAAGGTATTTTTAATAAATAGTAAGGAATGTTGAAAAACATACATATCAAATGAACACTTCAGCATAAATAAAATTGAAATAAATAAATTTGAATACTTTCTGACAGCCACGTAAACGAATATTTAAATAAAATAAATTTTGAACACGTCACGTTATACTAGTAACGAGTATTTCCAAATAAAAAATCAAAAACATGTTACATAAATTGTACTTACCATCAGGAAGAAGCTCGTCCTCTTCTCCACTGCCATTGGAACCAGGGACACCAGCAGCGGCAGCAGCAGCATGTACACGAGCCGTCACCTTTATGCCCATCTTCTTGGACTGCCTGTTCTTGCTCCCCTGGGGGGGCTCGGGGGTGCTGCTCTCCACCTCCTCGGTAGCAGTTTCAGGCTCCGAGACTTTTGCCTTCGGCCTGGGCCTTGCTTGCCTCTTCATCTTCTTGGGCGTGGAGTTGCCCTTCTTTGATTTCGGTGCCATGATTTTGATCTTTACTCTACGGAATATTGATCGATACTGATCCAGAACACCGGACGCGGCGGCTTTTATACACGCGGGCGGCAAGCGGAGCACAAGTGATCGGCACGTGATTCACACGCGGAGCACATGTGGAGCACAAGTGATACACACGCGCTGCGTGTGACCCCATTTTCTGACCACAAGCGCTCACACACGGAGGACTCGTGGTGGACACGCGATGCACACGCGCGCGTGTGGTCCACTTGTCATTCGCGTGTCCAGCATGTCTGAGACAAATTGGTTGATTTTCACCGCGTGTAGAAAAAATTTGCAAAATTTATAGCAAAATTACACGTGATCAACTCGCGGAAGCCTGTGTGACCGGCCCATTAAGTAATTAAAGTAACAGTCGATATTAGGATATCCGAGTCTTCGTCAATTCAACATATTTACTGTGTAGAAATAAATAGTTTATATATTTTGTATTTATAGGTGGAATCTGTAGTGATATACTACTAACTGGTGTGGATATGGGTGTTGGTCCTCATCCTACAGAATGTGATAAATATGTACAATGTTATGCTAATACTACTGGTGGTATCATAGCTGTCTACAGACAATGTCCTTTTGGTCAATTCTGGGATGATAACAACAAGAAATGTAACTATGTTAACGATGTCACCTGCCCTTATAGTGAGTAATTAATGTAGTTGAACTTTTGCTACAGGTTGTTAATCTTCCTGTCAAAAGACACTCTGTTTGCATAGACATATAAAAGACATTGATCCGAACGGTGTTTATAATGTATAACACAATAATAACTGCCCATATCTATTTATATAAAAAAAACCATGCTGGTATAATTCTGGTAAAAGTTATTTTGTAAGCATTGCCACTAAACTGATCTTTACAACAAATATTTATTTCAGAAACATGTACATCAACTTGTGATATAAAAACGAAGATGGATGGTAGCTGTAGATCTTATTGGGAATGTATTGGTGGTAAACAACAACCAAAATGCTGTCCAATGGGGTTTATCTTTGTTCAAGGTTTTGGCTGCAAACCTGACTTCTATTGTAGAGATCCATGTCCTGGAAAATGCTCACAACCAGGTAAATTTCCAGAATCACTTCTAGAATTGTTGTAAATTAAACGTGATTTATTTCTTTATATTTAAAACAAACTTGGGATCGTTGAATTACACCTGTTATTAAAGAGGGTAATTATTGCCCATTTGAAGCTCTATATATCTATAGCACATTAAGCTAAGTACGCTTTTGATTCCAGATTTTGCGTGCTGAGTCAATGTTTGTTTAGTGGAGTTTTTCCGGGGTGTAGCCTCCGATACTAATTATAGTCCATGTGCGTGATTTGGGTGTGTAGGGAGTAAACTGCCATTCGGGATACTGCATCACATAATGCATTGACAGTCAGACAAATGAAGATCTAAATGTTAATATAAGTGTTCTTTAATGAAAAGGTTATACAAAATATGATGATGATGAGGGTGTAATATGATGAGTAAAGTTGTCTAATGTTATCTAACGATTAACTGAAAAATACAAATATAAATTCTCTCAAAATAACATTAAATTTCAGGTAATAGACTACCACTGATAAATATTCTAATTCCAACTAACACTGGCAGGTAATAAACTGTTCAAGCCAAAGGGATGGGGTTCAAGATGCAAAGACATGGGAAATATTTGCTATAAAGGCTTTACTTAGTACGGAACCACCAGGTTAATGAAATATAAATGGAAAATAGCATACAAAGAATATAATTACATAAATCATTCAACTCTTAATAAGAAGACTGACAGTTCAAAAAGTAATTAAAGGGAGACAACTAGCTTTAACTGATCAGTGTAACCAATGCTTCCATGCCATGACAAAATGCAACAGAGATGCGACTGACAAGCCTGACATACAATATCAATTAAATAATACAAATGATACAAATACCGTGTTTTTATGTCCCTATACTCTCTAACACTGGCTGACAATGACAATATACTGACAAAACCATACTGGTTGGCACTCGAATGACAACAATATAAACTGACAACCACGAGACCAAAATGACTGCCAAAGTTACAATTGCATGGTGCGGTTTTCTTTTAGCGGGAAAATGAGAGTCACGTGACTCTTTGGTTAATCAAAAAATCATGAATATAATAAATAATGAGACGAAAAATGAAAAATAATGTTAAAATTAAAATGAACAATAAAAATTACCTTTAAGGTTTTCTGGCCATAACGGGGTGATATACGAATCCTTTGCAAACTGTATTATAATAAAAGTTGAATTTCAAATAGCAATATCAGCTATGGTTCTAATCCGTTCAGTATTTACAACAATATGATGAAGCGAAATTCCATCGATCTATGCTGCGCTTTACATAAATGGTAGATTTTTGTTTTTTTATTCTATCTCTCATTTGTTTTCTTGACAGACTGTCGACAAAACAAGTGTATATTTCTTCGAAGTTGAATTTACTGCCAATTCGTCGAATAACGTCATGATATAATAATACGCCCGCCGCCATCTTAACGTGTTAGCGAATCCGGAATATCTAGGGTCGATATCTTGATTTGCTTTCTTAATTAAATATTAAAGGAGCTAAATCGCTAATATTTGGGACCTAGAAATTGACCCAAATGGGTCGCAAAGCATAAAATAATGTAGTCTGATTGTATATAAACTGATTTACATTAAATTGTTTCCGTCTTGTCTCTAATTTCAAATCAGTTATGTCCAGCGAAATACGGCATGAATCTAAACCAAATGGCAATTTCTAGCGTCTGGTTATTCCAGTCTATTGCGCATGCTCCCCAGAAAAGATATGGCGTCACCATTTGACATGAGTTGTGAAATATGTCTAGCCCCGTTCTTTCTGGTCACTTGTTACAAAGGACGCTGAAACGCACTATGGTACACAATTCGTGTACCAATGGTAAAATGTTTATTTTGTCTTAAATATTGGATATCAGGTGCCTACCTTTTCCCGGCAAGATCACAACATCAACGTTGATTTTAATTGACAAATAGTTCGTGTTTTCAACGTGTACAAATTTGGATGATATTAAGTTAGAGACTTAGGTACTTTAAATAATCAATCTGAGTACATATTAGCGTGAAATTGCAAATCACGCATCGTTACATTAAATAGCGATTTAGTGTGACTATCTAAAATACTAGCATAATTAAAGATACATTAGGTAAGAGTTTTATAAAGAGTTGGCCATTCTTGCTATAATAATTCAAAAATAGATTATAAAAAAAGAAAATGTTGAAAATTTCAGTCAAATTACTTTGTTCTGAACGGAATTGTCAGTGTTGGAAGTTTGCACTAGAAATAGGCATCAATTGTGTCTGCACCGTCTATGAGAATTGGCGTTCGTTTGATTGACAGACGATAACTCCATCCACATATTTTCGATTATCAAGTAACATGCTCAGTGGCTATGGTAGCCTCGCTTGGCAGGCTTTTCATCACCAGTTTCCGGTAGTAACATCAGCGACTAACGGTAAACGTTAGCCTGGTCCGCCATTTATTGATTTAATTTTAAATGGACGACTGTTTATATCCAAACTGTATCCAAGCCATCCGTGGGTCTACAGAGTTGGGCTTGTGTAAATAAAGGTCTAATGAATAATTTCTATAACATCTGAAGCCTAAATGAAGACTTGCAATAGGCAGATTTAGCTCTTGCATAATGTATGTTTAATGTAGATTATCAGGGACAGGCGTTTAGCAACTATCTTGTACCTTGGTTTTGTAGAACCCTGTGATAAGAAACCAGACTGGAATAATATGATGGATTACAGGATGTATATGGGTATGATAGGATATATGCCCATGAGTTGTAAACCTGGTTATTTTGATGTGGCTGAATGTGGTTGTTCTTACTCTAAAACACAGAAGACAAGTAAGTAAAAAATCGCGCTGATCAGGGGCGGATCTAGGAATTTTGAAAAGGGGGGGGGGGCGCCGCAAAATGAGGGCACTCACCGCGGAGACGCGGCACGCCGCTGAGATATGGGGGGGGGGGGGTCCCCCAAGAACCTTATCCGTCATTTCCTGCATCTGTAGCAATTCCAAGAGCTATTTGCCTGATATTTTCGTCTAAGTAAACGTTCGGAAATCGTTGAAAAGGAGCCTTAAAATCGAGCAAAAAAGCCAGTTGAACACGCGACTCGAAAATTGTCAAGGCGAGCAAGGCATTATGATGGGGAAAAAAGACGAATCTATTCCCTAGCCACTTCACTATTTAAGCCTTGTAACATGTACTGTCCACACATGAAACAATGCTACATCAAGTTGCACTAATGCGCGTCGGTGATGGGCATGAGTGTATAGTAGTATACGCCGCCGATTCCACAAGATGCTATCATTGATGTCTGTCTATAGTCATTCTATAGGGCACCGTCAGCTAAACAACAAGAATTCGTTTGAAAGTGGAAGCATTAATAAGACAAGACTGGTGTGTTTAAGTCGATGGTTTGAGTCATTTGGGATTCCTGCAACGGGTTGGGAACGGGCATATTTTGGGTTTGAGAAAAGGCACTTTCAGCAGTAAAAAATGGCACTTTTTAAACCCTAACCCTTACTGTTTAAAGTAGTTACGTAAACCGTTTTCTTCAATTTGCTGGTATTTAGAAATATTATCTTCTAACACACAACCGAACCTGACTAACCCAAGACACTATATTCCCCTTTTCGTGCATTATCTCCATTATTGTGAGTTTGTTTTCATCTTGAGTGAAGCCAGTAAGAACACAATGGTCGCTTACAGCCGGCAGGACGATTTACCCAATTACACCCAATACTAATTAAATACCACCAAATACCACCACATACTACCTCATTATTTATGAAACTATCACAGTTGTTAAATTATACAATAAAAAGGGAGTTAATTAGTGGAATAAACTGGAAGGGTCTATTTATAATATCAGTACCCGGTCGCGCAAGCGAGAGAGAGAGAGAAATGGGGTTTAACGTCCACTCGACACAAACTAGGTCATTTCGGGACTAACATATGGTTTGATTTTATTTCAATAATTCGCTTGTGGGTAGGGGTCTTTAGCAGTGGGAGGAAACCGGAGGACCCGGAGAAAACCCACGAGATTGGATAGGCGACTCAATGACAGGCTTTATGATACAGCACGCGCGTGCTAACCATTCGGCCATCCAACCCCCGTCGCGCAAGCGTCTGAAAGACTAGTCAAATAATACCAAATATCTACCAATTCTAACCCAATACTACGTAATACAATCACATTACCTTATTATTATCCAAAACTGATAGAATTCTTCAATTACTTCAATATCAATGAGTTAATTCCTGTAAAAAGTGTAAACATTTGAACTATCTATTTCTAATGATAAATGGAACGACTAAACATTGAATAATTAATTTATTTTCCACAAACAAATATATTGTACCTTTATCTCATATTTTGGTAATATTGGTCCATAATTATTTTACAGAAATGGATTGATTTTTGATAGCATGGGTTAATATTATTTGTAAGTGTTTGGTGATCACGGGAGATAATTGGAATAGCGAGACATTGATAATCACATTTGTCGTACGTTTTAACGAATTAACTCTATTTTTTAAAAAATAAATTGAAGTATTATGTAAGTTTTACAATAATTAGGTAGTATGTGGAAGTATTTGGTAGTGTTTAATTAATATTGAGTGGTACTGGGTAGTATTTGGTAAATCGTCCTGCCCTTTGCAGCTGGCCTCCAGATTCATTTTCATGATTTGTTATTGTGTGTCTTGACCCCGGTTTTGTTTCTGTGTTGTACGCTCCGCCTGCACTTCCTATTACGTACCGTATTATGTACGCATTATATTAACATACATTAATTTAAGATTTATTATCTTGGATGTTTTTTAGCATGTAAAGCAAAGATAAAGTTGAATTTTACCGATGCCAACCAGCTTCAAAATAATACAGGAATGGGTATGATGGCGAATAATGTTACTGTTCATTTCGGTGCTGCTCAATTTACTGGAGATAGTTATTTACGATACGATATAATGATGAATAATAGCAACAACATGCTATCAGAGACAAAACACAGATTATCAATTTCATTTAGATACAGGGAAACCTTACCTGTAGATCGAATGCGGGTAATCTTCAGCACGGGTGACTGCGGAAAAGGTGGAAGAATGTATATCACCCATGATGCAACAGCAATATACTTCAAAGTTGAATCCAAATATGGTGCCTATACTAATATAACTATTGCAACAAGTGTAAGTCTTTTGATTTTGTGCTTTTTTAATTCATAAGTTGCTCAATTCTTTTTCAGACTCACCACCAATAGTTGGAAGGTTCATACTGTCTGATAGTTTTTGATCAAATTGTATTCTAATTTTTAAATAGAAAATCAGTTTAAATACATACACACACAACTATTTGGTTACAAAAACATCCAGTTTAAAAGGTATGAGAATGAGCGTTAGGTTTTTAGGGGGGTTGAGATGGCCTAGTGGTTTAAAGTGTCGCGCTTCGACCTCTAGCTGGCCGGTCACCTCTGGCTTGCAGGTTTGGTTTCTATCCCTGGTGTGAGCGTATGTGGCTTGGCCTTCTCAATCTAGTGGGTTTACTCCAGGGTACCCTAGTTTCCTCCCACATGAAAGACCCCTGCGCGTGCGCTAAGATTGTAAAAATGAAAATAAGACAACTTGTCTGCGATATCACCTTCGGTGGAAGCGGACGTTAAAACACTAAGGACAATAACAACAACAAGCGTTAGGTTTGGAGTATTGAAAAGACTGGGTTATTGAAAATAGGGACGAGCGAACAGATTAGGATGCCCTTGAATGTTTCACCACAGAGAAATATCCTTGTCATTTGCTTGGAACATTTCGTTCTTTGTAATACGCATTATGTTTGTAGGAGTTCCCGCCTTATGCCTGGAAGGATGTGATGTTTGTGTATGATGGTGAAATGGTGGAAACTCACGTCAGAGCTGGAAATCTACTACAGGTATCTAAATTACCAGGTACGTAACTATATAATATTATATGTATACACAATTTAAAAGAGAGGTCCCAGATTTCGCCGGGTTTCCGAACGTTCAGATGTGGAGATAACGTATACTTATAGAGTATTAAGGCTATGTAGGGGATACATAAATCATTTACATCGCTTACGTACAAATTGGGTGACTTGATACACGCGAATATTCGATACCGTTTGTAAATTTCGCCAAGGTAATTAACGCAGCTATGACCTGTAATATGCTTTTACTTTCACGAAAACAACAAAATATTAAAATATAGTAGGTAGTCGTCCGTGTGTAGACGCACGAGTTACAGACACGTAATGTAGATATGATATGATCGTCGAGGTTCGACTTCCAGCTCCCAAATCTTGGACTTCACGTTAAATGACTTATTGACTTGGGCGGGGGTGGGGGTGGGTGGGGGTGGGGGTGAATTGGCGGGAAATGAGTTCGCGTTGATTTAAATGATGATTTAAAAATAATAATAATAATAATGACTTTCTGACATCCTGCCCTTCATAGAAAATATATTACAAAAGATATAGACTGATGCATTAAATAACACACCAATTTACAATAGAGAAAATAATATACAAGTCACTTAAAAGATTAATTGAAGTATATATGCGAGTTGATAAAACAGAAAGTTTGAATAAATAGATATATCATGTATCAACAAATGTACAATATGTACATGCTTATAATATGGAGATATACAGAATACATGTATAAATACATGTAATAAGAAATATAGGGGGGTATGTGTGTGTAATGATTGACAACGGTAAAAATGCGATTTTACATCTTTGAGAGATGCTTGCACTCAATCAGAATGTGCTTAACTGTCAACGGAACATGACAGTGTTAATAATAATAATTACTTTATGTCAAAAGGGTTGAAAATAAGGCCAATGGCTTTTCATACATTTTGCCCTTTAAACAATGGGAACATATGTACATTAATAGATAGAAAAGATAGAAATTTATACATTAAAATAAAATATATATTATAAATATAATATATATATATAAACAAAAAAAAGAAACAACCACAAAAAAAAAACCAACAAAAAAAAAACAAGAAACAAAACAAGTTGAACATGTATTTACAGATGTACATTTTTGGCACATAAAAGGTGCAACATGACTCTAAAGAAGATTGGCTGTGACAAGTTCATAATTAATACATGCAACAATGTATGAATATAAGGTTAATCAAATCGGGTGAAAGACAGTATAATTAATTTTCATTTAGATATTTAATATGTTGGGCGCGGAAGGCATTACCGGATTTCAAATGTTTGAGAAAACATGGCAATGTATTCCATATGCGTGATCCACATAATTTAATACTACTTTTGACTACACTAAGATTTGGTCTTAGTACAATCAGTCGTTTATTAATGTTAGAGTAAGTAGTGGAATTATATAACAGCGTTTTAGCAAGGTAGTTTGGGCATTGCTGGTTTATAATTTTGTGCAAGAGCATGTATTTATTTAATAGTTGGCGGTTTTCCACATTCAAAACATTGATATTGTTATTATTGGCTGCATCAGAATTTTCGGTAGTGTGTCGAGACATCAAGAATAAGTTTAAGAGCTGAATATTACTAGTGTTAAAGGAAGTCTGAAAAATGTTTACCACAGCTGTCCCATATAGGTGAACAGTAATCAAAATAGGGTTTGATATTTGATTTGTAAAACATAGACTGAAATTTAATAGGTAAAAGTTGTTTTAATTTGTGTTCACATTCTAGTTGAGGCTCTCGCTTTAATATAAAAATGTGGGTTAAAAATGTATGACCTATACTAATCTCAAATGGTTTTTATCACATCAGGCTAATACTATATTGGCGTCAAGTTGAAGTTTCTGTTCTAACTCTTTGACAGTAGAACCAGAGGTTTAGATGGTTGTGTCATCCGCAAAGAGGTCAGTTTTAGCGGATAGGTATAAAAGGTAAATTATTTATAAAGATATTAAACAATATGGGTCCTAATATTGATCCTTGGGATACACAGTGATAATAGGTTTATTCTCAGATAATATGCCATTAACAGATGTGCACTGACTTCTGTTTTTTTAAGTATGATTCTAGAAAGAGAATCTCCACAAAGGAGATTGTTGTTTTAACATAATCATACATGTTTTCAGTATAGGTGTTAAGGCTGTTTGACAAGAGCTAGATGAACGGAAACCTGATTGATTACTATATAAACGTAGATATTTATTTAAATAATTGTTAAGATGTTTTTGAACATGTCTTTCAAGAATTTTTGATATATTTGGAAGACTTAATATCGGCCTATAATTATTGGGGTCATCGTTGGTACCCCTTGTTTAAATAAAGAAGGGTACGTGTTATAATTTATTGACAAGTTAAAAATGTGCGTGAAACTAGCAAAAGGTTGAATAGCGCCTAAGCGGAGAAAAGGTGGATTTATTGAATCAAGACCGACTGCCTTGGAAACATCTAACTTTTGTAGGGAATTAACCACATCAGTTATTTTCATAAACATAATTTTGAAAGATACGCCATCGGGTACTTTAGAGTTTCCATAGGTTTTTAAATCATTATCGTCAAGCCTTATATTACTAGGGGTATCATCTGTATGGGCATTGAGTATTTTATCGGCTACGTTAAAATGAAATGAAATGCAATGGGGTTTAACGTCCTACTGTTCTGCTATGAGGGAAATTTTGCCCGGACAGCGGCACTACGGCCTACTCTTATATCGAATTCCAACTGCCAAGGGATATTTTGCGTGCATGCCAATGTGTACACGAGACCTCGGTATTTCGTCCCTGCATCACTTACAAGGGGGAACCACGCCGAAAAGATGGATCGAACACCCAACTTCCAGGCTAGCGAGCCAGCGTCTTACCAACTTAGCCACCGTGCACCCCGGCTACGTTAAAGAAGAAGTCATTAACTATATTGCTGTCCAGTGGTACGTGGGGACTGATGTTACTTTTGTTAGCTGCTGAGTTTAATGCATTCCATATTTGTTTAGAATTTTTGTTATCTCCGACCAGATCCTGGAGGTACTTTGATTTAGATTGAGGAATCATTGTTTTTAAAAGATTTCAACATTTTTTATATTCGGTATCGTTTTTCTTACTACTTTTATGGAAATCACGCTGTCGCATTAAATTCAAAATTTCACTAGTGAGCCATCGAGGTTTGATAGCACTCTTGACACGTCTAGTTCTGATAGGAGCATGGTGATCAATTATTGGAGTTACTAATTCATACCAAATTTGAAGAGCATCTGTTGGGTTATTTATCAGATAAATATTTTCAAAGTTAATTAAGCGTAAGTCATGCATGTAATTATCTTTAACGAAATTTCGAAAAGATCTGTATGCAACATATATATGTTTTGTTTTGGAGATATTTACTCCTCTTTTGGACCAAGTAAATCAAGTTGGAAAGTGGTCTGATAAAGAATAACATAGCACTTTAGTTTCAATAATATGGTTTGGGGCAGATACAATGTCATGATCAATTAATGTAGAATTTGAATTTGTAACACAGGTTGGAGAAGAAATGATATGCGTTAAATTGTAAAAATTGAGTGAATCCGTCCAATAAGAATTGTTGTTGCCTAACAGATCGATATTTATGTTACCAAAAATGATAAGTTCACTCCTTGATTCCACACAGAATCAATCTTTAATTTAAATTCATCATGCCATTTAACATTAGATGCCGGATTTCTGTATAAACAACATATTAAAATAGGTGATGTCTTTTGCATAGTAATTTCAATCCAAATGACTTCAAGAGTATCGCGTTCCAAATCAGTTCTCCATTTACAATTAATAGATTCTCTTACATATAACAGAGTGTCAGAAGAATTAAATGTACTATCATCTCTTCTAAATGGCGAATGAAAACCAGGAAAAATAATAGAACCATCATTTACAGAATCTGATAAATGTGTTTCTGTGAAACCAAAAATATCAAATTCTTCAAGAAGTAATTTGATTTCCACTGTTTTGTTTATAAAATGACGGACATTTAAATGTCCTATGTGAAGACCTTTCTTGATACTTTACTCCTAAAATCATATTTTGGTTTGAAGTTGTAAGTTGATCTAGTATCTTTCGGTGAAAATCTCATATGTGGTGGAAGTTGAAAATGCGGGTATGAGAACGATAATAAATTGTTCCTTGTATCAGCTCTTGGTTTGTAATCGTAAGGTGATCGAGTATGTCCAAAAAGATTAAGTTGAAATACAGATTTGACTATAGAAGCTAACACCTATAGTATTGAATATACCTCGATTCCATTGAATACTTAAACGTTTCTTGATTGATTTAGTTTTTAGACTATTTTTTATACATTTCACCGATGTGGTTACTTGTATAGTTGAATTTTACTACAATATGCTTACATTCGTATTTCTTGTAACATATAGATAGCAGATCATGACTCATGCAGGCATTACACTACGTTTTCTTTGGGTCGTATTCCTGATCTGATTGTTTTCAAATTTGAGTGAAGTCACTACAGGCCCGGGACTGTACAGTGCAGTGGACGCTTACGGCTAGCCCCCGGATCCATTCACTCTTTTTGAATTGTTTGTTCATTTGTGGTTTCTGAGTATTATGTCTTGTCCATGTTTTTATGTTTGTGTAAATTCATGTAGTGTAGGCCATCGAAAGTATAAAAAAACGAAAGGAAATATACATTTATATTTTAATCAGATTGCTTTTTGTTCAGTAACAATTTCGTCATTCCAAATATTTAATTATAATGGTACTTTTCGAGAGATCTGGAAATGTACATAAAAAACACAGACATGTTTAGATATTAGTTTATTCTAGTCTTCATCAGAATATTCAAAATCAAAGTTCTTAATATGAGCGGGATAAATATCTTCTTGATGGCTAATCAACAGCTTGCATATGGCCTTTGGGAATGCTTCAGATACCCATTCACATTGTAAATCTTCATTCAAGCCTTGTATCGCAGGGTCATCTTGTTCGATAATTGATTTTGCAGCCTTTCTCCATATTGTTGCAACTTAATTGTTGCGTTTAATGTGCAGCAAAAGACTACTCGGGCAAGATGGTAATAAAGAAGAGAGAGAGAGAAATGGGGTTTAACGTCCACTCGACACAAACTAGGTCATTTCGGGACAAACATATGGTTTAATTTTATTTCAATAATTCGCTTGCGCGTAGGGGTCTTTAGCAGAGGGAAGAAACCGGAGGACCCCGAGAAAACCCACGAGGTTGGACAGGCGACCCTACTCCTTGTCAAGTACAACCGGGGAATCGAAACCACGCCAGTTGACTCAAGTAAGAAGGGTTTGTTATTTTTCATCACAATTAAAATTCCTCCAGAAAATCTTTCTTCTAGTGTCATCTGCTGATGTAAGTCGCCTTTCTCAGTCGATGGTACAAACATTTTTTTTCTAAACGAGCAATTACGTCATCAGAAACATCATTTGTCTGTCCCAGCCCTTTGTTAGAAAGTTGATAAAAGAAAGACAGATAGTCATTACCACTGAAAGCATGTAGGCCGCGATATTCTCGACACTTTTCAATACTAATCTTGATTGGATCAAAAATATATCATGATTAGTATTGAAGAAAGTGTCGAGAATATCCTAGACCTGACAACAAACCACGAGGACACCAAAATAGGTTGCCTACTCCACGCATTGCAAATTAATGGAGGCGCTGAAACAAATTGTATTTTGCGTTCTTGCTCGGGCGAAATAGACATCCCAATCATTCTGCTCGCAAACAGTGATCCAAATATACATTTGGATCGATACTGAAATTGACAAAGGTAGAAAATATCGCGGAAGGCAATTTACATCAGTAGATGACGCTAGAAGAAAGATTTTATTTTCTCGGTGAAAAAATAACAGACCTTTCTTTATTACCAACTTGCCGTAGTGGTCTTTTGCTGCATGGCTGGAATACAGATTTACAATGGCAATGGGTATGAAGCATATCCAAAGGATATATACGAGTTGTTGGTCAGCAAACCAAGAAGATATTTATCCCGCTCCTATCATGAACTTTGATTTTGAATCTTCTGATGAAGACTAAGAATAAACTTATATCTAAACATGTCTCTGATTTACTGTGGGGTTTTTTTTGTGTACATCTTCAGATCAATTGAAAAGTACCATTGTCATTTAATATCTTGAATGAGTGAACGAAAAAGCTAACGAGAAATCACTTTTAAGGGCAATTTTGAACCAAATAATTTCTGTACAAAATAGAAACTCGTGTTGCCTCCACTCTCACCCCCAACGGGCACCCACCCCACACAAAGGGAATCTTACAAACATATTTAGAGATGTGCCAAGCTCTAAGAAAATCATCATTTAAATCGACATGAACTCATTCAATTACTTTATTGAATTGTCAGATATCCTCTTACAGTCCCATATAACAACTTTTGGTCTTCGAATGAATTATTAGTGAGCAGAAATTCGGCCGTATATCTGTTATCACTCGTCACTTCAGTCAGTTATATAGAGGGACAACTCGTGTTTTCATTTGGCGTTCGTCACTTCCGATTCATGACACCTGTATTACACATCTATCGTAGCAATGTCCAGTGTTAAAATTATATTTGGAACGTGTTTAACCAGTTCTATCACATATGTGATAATGACTGACACCAATATTTTCCTTTAATTCCGTTTTTTGTAGTCTTGATACTTCTAATTTAGGACGTTTTTCACCGCAAAGAATATTACTTAAATCGGACTGTTGATTGCCACTTGTTCTCTTGTAAGCACGAATAGTACTCGAGCGATGTCCAGTCTTTTCAGCTATCAGCCTACTCCAGCTGCATATTTGTCAATCATCATGAAATGAAATGTGGTTTAACGTTTTACTTTTCTGTTCATTCAAGCCTTATGAAAACATAAGGGACATTTTGTCGAACAGCTGTGCTACAGCCTAATCTTATTTCAAATTCCAACTAACAAGCGTTGTTTTAAGTGTACGCCAAAGTGTACATGGGATCTAGATTTTTGTCCCAGTCGAACGAGATTAAATTTAAACTATGTGTTAAGAATCAAACGTTCTTGGATGAGTTCGACTTTGATACGCATCAAACCTTACAGACTAGAGCTATAGCCCCTGTTTTCTTTACGCAAAATGTGAAATGTGTATGGATTTTGTAGGTCCTCTGGAGGGCCTACGATTGTTGTCCCATTCTAGGGAAACTTAACAAATATGTTAAGGATCAAAAGATCTTGAATGAGAGGATGATCCCTATTAATTTTACCTCTTCCCCATACATTTCTTGCAAATGTGGGTGTATCTTGCATGACAACCGCTTGTTTCAACTGATCATAACTGATAGCATTGGATTATTTGATGGATAAGGGACAAAGGGAAACAGTGTGAGAATAATATTTATCGCAGAGCTACAGATAGTTGTGTAGGACTAGAATAAAGCCTTCAAATAGCCTTCAGCTAGGAATTAACCAGTTGTATTCTATATTGTATTATTATAACTAATAATGTTTTCACTTGGAAAATGAACAATGTTTAATATTATTAGTTCAGGTTTTTTTCAGAAAACATTAACTACTAGTTATATTTTATTTTTCTGTGATTAACAGCACCGATGACGAAGATATTAGAGTGTGGTTTTGGTGTAGGTATTGGTGGTCTTATACCAGGTTATAGAGGAGAGTTAGATGATGTAAGTAATATTTACTATTATTTAGAGTATATACTTTCAAAGCATCAATGGAAATTATAATTGGACCGTGAAAAGTGAAGTAATAAACTACATCGATTTATTCATCCTGTTTCATTAATATTAAATATCCATGTCATATTTTAAATACCCTTCAACTCCAAATTTACCTAATCCCTGGCATTTAAAGATTGACTATTTCTAGGACTAAACAGACTTAAAATACTTTATTGATACACCCCTATTATAGAAAGAACTTTCAACTAACACTGTTATCTCCCATGTACATTATCCGCTTTTTAAATAATATTGTAAGTTAAAATTGTATCTTAACTTAAAACAGTGGCGTTTCACGAAACTATTTTAGGGACAATTTTAACTAAAATCAATTTTAACTTAGGACAGCCGTCACCCTCTCCTAACTTAAAATCATTACACTAACAAACATTAATAATTAGAGCTACGTTGTGAGATCTATTGCGACATATAGATATATTTGGAATAATGATAATATTGCCAATGGCCCGGGTAATATAATTTAAACATACTATCATTCACAAAAATAATTTTCATTCAAATTCTTTTCATTGCATGGGAAATATAGATGCAGCCTACCCGTTTATTTTATTGTAAGGCAATATAAGCAATTAGATGACGCCCAAATGAAAACCCCAAGAAAAAAAACCCCTCAAAACCCCAGTAAACAAAACTCTTTGTTACTATTTTATATATTACCATAAGATTCAAGTATAAATTATACTATTTTCAAATAATTAGTACACTAGACACAAACTAGGTCATTTCGGGACTAACACATGGTTCAATTTTATTTGAGAAAATCCAAGAAGTTGGACGGGCGACCCTATTCCCTGTCACGTACAACCGGGGAATCGAAACCCCGTCAGTCCTATAATACTAGATACGCCATATACAAAGTATTTATGGTTTTGGGGTTATGATGATTTATATAGGAGCCGGGGGATCACGTGGCTAAGTGGGTAAGACGCTGGCTCGCTAGTCTGGAGGTTGGGTGTTCGATCTCTGCATTGGCCGAGAAAGTTCATCCAGATTTTCCGGCGTGGTCCCCCCTTGTCAGTGATGCAGGACGGAGGGCCTGACAAGGACAGCTGTCTAGTCCTTCAGATGATACGAAAAACCGAGGCCCCGTGTATACATTGGAATGCACGTAAAAGATCCCTTGGCAGTTGGAATTCGATATAAGAGTAGGCGATATTTCCTACTCAGGCAAAATTTCCCTCATAGCACACTGTATGGCGTATGCCCGTCTTCATTCCATTTCTATATAGGAGCCAAGGACATTACCCAATAAGGAGTGTGGCACTTTGGCACTTTCATAGTATTATTGAAAGGGTCCATGGGACTGACTTTTCAAATCTAGGCATCGGAACATTGGTTATTTTGTGTATTAGTTTAAAAGTTGTTAAATACTTTTAAAATTCGACAATACTTTAGTCTAGATTAATCCTTTGAGTCAGAAATAACACATGTTTGTGACAATTCTCAATAGTTTCTGTTATCCAAAATACCATAAAACTACGAAATTAAAGCGATTTAGTTACGCAGTATTTCCATTGAAGCCTGCGAGTAAATCAAATGCCAAGGTCGCTTTCGTGACCTCCAAGTTCAAGGCCAACCAACTGATACATTTCAATACGAATAATACGCAATAAACTTATTTATTTCATTTCTCTACGACTGTCTGGCCATGTGCAGACATTGTTACAACGTATGTAACTCTCCTCATTGGTATTGTAGCGGTTCATTCAATCGGGCAACAGTTTTCAGTTCCGAAGCGTTTATGCTTACACCCTAAGTGCCCTCACCGGAATTGAACACTGCGCGAGCGCAAGCAATTTTAACTAAAATCTATTAAAATTGCATTTTAAGTTACAACCGATCTTCGTGAAACGCATAAAATTTAAAATTTCATTTTGATTTTAATTAAAATCTATTTTAGTGATTTTAGTTTAAGTTTTTGTGAAACAGGGCCCAGATCCAGAATCTACTTTCTTTTTTCCCTAAAGATTGTCACATCTAGATAGAGATACATAAATCAGGTGGGATTCACAGGAGCCTGTAACATGCAAAAATCTTTCAAAAATAACATTTAAAACTGTGACTAAATTTTATGTCTAAAGTCTATTACGTTGTGTCATTGTGTTTCTCACCTTCGTAGACAAACGTTTTCCAGCGTGCTATTTGCCGCTGAATTTGATAATCTTGTTTACGAACATGATTCTTGAAAATACTGTTTATTTCTTGTGTGTTTGCTTTCAGCTATCTGTGCATCTGTGTAATAATTAAAGTGAAACAGCTGAAACCAAGGATCAATATTTATGTAATTGATGTATGATAATTTATTGTAATGTGCGTATTGTTATATTTTAATAGCTTTCATTCATTTAAACTGAAATTGTATTTTGAGCCATCACAATATTATTTGTTTAGATATCTAAGTAGTTTTCAAATTTTCTTTGTCTCTAACAAAGTTTATAATGGTTTATGTTTCTCATACAACTGACTTAGAATGTTTATAAAGTTTTACAGCCATGACGGATATGTGCACCTTATTTAAATCCCCATGCAATCCGCCATTTATATTTAGCTATACGGTCTTGCCGTGTATGGAATGTGCATGTAAAGATGCATTGCGTAAGAGCTAATCTGCCTATTGAAGATCTTTCATATGGCGTCCAATGTTATATAAATCATTAATTAGACATTTATTCACATGCAAAGTCCATAATCTAATCTCTAGATCAACTGATGGTTGAGATTTTCAACGGACTGAAACACGATCGTCACAAAAATTTAAAATTGGATAATCGTAACTTCGGTAGCAATGACAATCAAGACTACACTATTCTTCAAACGGCCATAACTTCTCTTAGAATGAGGTCATTTAACTGACATTTCCAATATAATCCCTTTATCTATTTTTAACTATTATAGCGACAACTGTCGGCTCTTTATCGAAATTTTAAATTAAGCATGTTTTGTTGTAATAGTTATTCGAATCGGTTGAAATAAAGAATTATGTTAACTTGTCTTGATGCTTTATTGACATACTTCCGTCGCTCAAAACTAGAAAATTGGACGTTTATTTCGTTTCGGTTACTATAACTTCGTAACCGAAACGAAAATGAATAAGGGCGGTGAGCATGGAACTTGCTCACTGATCAGGTTCATGGTTTGAAGAATGACTTTGCAAGACACCAGCATTATAATTACCATTGTAAAGGGGTAAACATAACAATGGATTTTCATTGTTTCCGAATTACAAGATAAACATAACAATGGATTTTCATTGTTTCCGAATTACAAGACACCAATGTTCCGCTCTATAACAGAAGGGTTGGGCAGTTGAAACTCCGGAAAGAGAGAGAGAGAGAGAGAGAGAGAGAAGAGAGAGAGAGGGGGTCTGTCATCGATGTAAGTGTAGTGGTTTCGACACCACCTTTGTGTCTGACACACATAATACTATAGACCCTTACGCACGGACGATTTATTGTGTTTAATCCAGACCTTAGATGCCATTTCACTACACCACTACAAGATACGTTGAAAAATAGAGTTATATCCCTTGGCATAATAAGAAAGAAGCCGTGTTAACGTCCACTGGATACAGACTAGGTCATCTCAGGAATAACATACGTTTAAATTTTATTTCATCATTTCAATAATTCATTAGCGTGTAGTGGTCTTTAGTTGTGGTAGGAAACCGGAGGGCCAGGACCAAGAGAAAACGCACGAGGATGGACAGTCGATCCTACTCCTTGACACGTACATGCAGTGAATCTAAACCACGCCACATGACTCGATGAAGGACCTTATGCTCTAACGCGCACGCGTTATATCCCCCCCCCCCACACACATAATGAACGCACGATCTTGTCAAAAGATATATTAACAGCGAAAATATAATATAGGCTATTGCATTATACAAGCCGAACATAAATCTTAATTACCTACGAATGTATTAAATCAGGGTTATATTTTATAAATTATATCTTGTGTGACACAAAGTTCTAGATGGCTTTACGATGATAATAATAGAAAACAGATAATTTGATATTTAAAAAATAATGAATATTAGGGCACCATCTCACCCACATACGAGTCCAGTAATGTTCCAGTAGGATTACTCCTTAACGAAAATTACTGTTCTATAGTTGTGTGACGTCACTCCAGGAAGATCAAGCAATACGATTACGTCATCTTAGAAACAGATTTGTCACTGCAACCTCCACAAGTAGAGAGATTTTTGGGGGAAGGGTAACTGCACAAACTGTTCGAAATCGCTTGCAGGCTGCTGGTCTTCGAGCTCGGAGGCCCTATAATGGACCAATATTGACACCTCTTCATCGCCGTAACCGACTTGTGTGGGCCACAAGACACATAAGATTTACTCAAAGACAGGGTCCGAGTGTACTGCAGACGAGGTGAACGTTACGCTCAAGTATGCGTCAGAGAAGTTGACCGATTTGGTGGCGGCAGCGTCATGGTTTGGGGTTCTTTTTGTGCACATGGACGTTCTCCTCTTGTTGTTGTCCAAGGGAACTTAAATGCTGTCCAGTACAGGGATCAGATTTTGCAACCTGTTCTTCTCCCGTTTATGCAGAGACATGGGCCTGGACTAACGTTTCAACAAGACAATGCTCGACCCCATACAGCAATTGCTACCCAGAATTTTTTTTTAAGAAATGCCGGTGTCCAAGTCCAGGATTGGCCGTCGCTTAGCTCCGACCTTAATCCTATTGAACACATCTGGGACGAACTGGGTCGACGTGTTCGTCAGCAAGTGAATCCACCACTGACATTGCAGGACCTTCAACATGCTCTTGCTGAGCAATGGCGACGTCTTCCTCGGGTAGTGTTTACTAATGTTCTGAGATCCATGAGAAGACGTTGTGTGGCAGTACGAAACGCTAGAGGAGGCCACAACCGTTACTAAACACTTTATTCCGATTGTTCTCCAAGTCTGTGAATTTCATTTTGGGGGGTACTGTGACATCACGAACGTTATCAATGTCAAGGACTTTCGGCGAGACGTATTCTTGCTTTCTGTTGATGTCAAGGTCGTCTGTGCACAACATAACACTAAAATAGTTGCCTTAAACCAAATATTAAAAATCTAGTCCCAAAAATCCCGAGTGTCAAGTTTTTAATTTGGCTGAGTATAATACATGAGGTAAATTTGGAACGCATGATAGCCACAGTTTTGTTCCCACTACATATTACAGTTAATATTTCCTTGGTACCTTAAACGTCATCGTTTATCGTTAAGAATGCCAACTTTAAACTATTAAAACAGCATAAAAAATAAGTCTTTTAGAGCTCCATTATCTCATATCTTCAATTGTCTGCCAAACAATATATTATAATTTTTCTTCAACAAATACTTGAGGGATTTATCGAATCAGATCGGAAGAAAAAATTTATTTGATTGTATGTCAAATGAACCATATCTCCCCTGAGGATTCCACTAAGCACATCTAATGCATTAAAGGAATACACAAAGCCATTGTTTGGCAAGACCAAAGGTATTCTTATCTTTGAAAAGCATTGTTTGGTTACCATGCCAACCTTTATCAAAGTCATATTGGATAATAGTTTATCAAGGTGTCAATCATTTCATTAAAAACAGTTGTCAATATAATAATAATGACTTATAAAATACGTATCACGTCAATAAGTATGAGATTCTTTCATATTACTTCTTTCAATTATGTTTAAATTCATTGCGAAGAATTGGCGTATTACGTTTTATGATATGATGCATCGGGTTCCTTTTGACTTGAGTGCAACTTATCAATCAGTGTATTCATTAGACAATGCTAATCTGTTAATGTTTAAACTCAAAAAGCAATTTAAACATTTCTTACAAACTTTTACGGACGAAAGACACCTATTACTGATTATTTAAAACCGTTTTGAAATAAGATTGATAAACATATTGTTCGCCATAAAGTTCAGTAAGTTCTAAAGACGTCAGAAGTACGTTGCCTATAGGTTAGAAATAGGTTACGCGTACGCTGCTCAATTGCCCTGCTGGTAGCCGACGTGTATGTCAGTTTATGAGAAACTTACATGTAACGTGCATGAACGCGTGCACAACTTACCTGTACTTCTAACTAACGCCTAAAGTGTAAGCAATACGTAGGCATACGGGCCGCGTTCGGCGTACAACTTATACCATCGTATTTCAGCGTGCTCGTAACTTGTTAAAAAAGTACCCATAACGTATTCAACGTACACCAGCGTGTTCGCTAAATTTCTCATACGTCGGCATACGCTGATGCTATACGTCAATGTGTGACAGCCCCATATAATGACTTGTGGTTCTAGCGAGCCTGAGCTTTTATATCTGACCTCACGTGGTTGCCGAAGTACGCCACAACACGTTATGTATAAGTTAGGCATAAGTTAGACTAACGTTGTGCATGAGTTCCGCATAAGTCAAGAACGCTAAAAATTCGTTGGGCACACGCTGTCATATACTTGTATAAGTTATGTTTACGTTGGGGATAAGTTATGAATAGAGAGAAAGAGAGAAATGGGTTTAACGTCCACTCGACACAAACTAGGTCATTTCGGGACTAACATATGGTTTAATTTTATTTCAATAATTCGCTTGCGCGTAGGGGTCTTTAGCAGTGGGGGGAAACCGGAGAAAACCCACGAGGTTGGACAGGCGACCCTACAACCGGGATTCGAAACCACGTCAGTCGACTCAATGACAGACTTTATGATACAGCGCGCGCACGCTAACCATTCAGCCATCCAACCCCCCTAAATTATGAATAAGTTACTCATGTGTTAAACATAGGTTATGTAAATCGTTCAGGGCGTTCGAAGTACGTTATATATGCGTCCAAAAAGAGCGTCCTCTTAATTTTTAAATTCAGTTTCAGCGTACGCCAGCGTGTTGGAACTATTATTTCATACGTCGGAATAAGCTGTCTAAAACGTTATAGTGTGACAGGCCCATAAGTGAGGCTTCAATAGCTTCTTGATAGATATTTGATCCTCACAAGAAGACGTTGCATGGTACCAAGATAGTAATTTAATCTGATTAACCTGTTTATATTGTAGTAGAATATTATTAATTACGTTGAGAATACAACCATATGGCGTGATGATATTCTTTATGAAATCGCACACAGTATCCATGTTTACTGCGTATGATTATTGTATTCTAGCCAACTATTTTTTTGATTATCATTAACATATAACCCATTTCTCTCATCTACTTGTATTACTAGAATATTTATTCCAACGAATGCCAATAGTGATATACCTAAATGCCCAGTGTTCTATTTTTGGTGGGGGGTTGGGTGACCGTTTGTTTAACACGTGCGCGTTAGATCACAACGTCTGCCATTTAGTCAAGTGACGTGTTTTCGATTCCCCACTAATATGCAAAAAAGGAGTGGGATTGTCTGTCCGTCCTCGCGGGTTGTCTCCGGGTCCTCCGGCTTCCTTCCATTGCTGAAATAAAATTGAACCATATTATGTTAGCCCCGATTTGCCGGCTGATTTGAAATAGGAACTGAAGTCAAGTTCCTTAAACGCGTTGCAGATGTAAACAAATAGAAATTTAATCTTTGAATGACATTTAGCGATTGAATGCTTCATAACGAGCAGTGAAATCTTGTATGTTCGATAACGACCAGTGAAATCTTGTCCAGACGTCGTGGGGGCGCGGGGGGCGAATGGTTAGCACGTGCGAGCTGTATCGTAAGGTCTATCATTGAGTCAACTGGCGTGGTTTCGATTCTCCGGTTGTGCGTGACAAGGAGTAGGATCGACTGTCCAACCTCGTAGGTTTTCTATGGTATCCCGGTTTCCTCCCACTGCTAAAGATCCCTACGCACAAGCGAATTATTGAAATAAAATTAAACCATGTGTTAGTCCCGAAATGACCTAGTTTGTTCTCAGGTCTTGCTCGTGTTATTGTGATAGTCTAATGAAAAGGGTATGATACGACTGGTGGTTCAATAAATACAACGTTTTGTCATATTCTTTTCAGACCCCAAGATTATTCTGTGAGGTCAAACAAAACGCTACACTGTTTTATGTGTATATATTGTTTGCGTGTATCGCTAGCCGCATGATTATATTTTGATATTGTTAGACAAAGTACTCAATAGATTATAGTATCTTTTCATTTCCTGGTCAATCTTAATCAAAACAAAAAGAAACAATTTCACCTGCGACGAAGATCCCATTCTCATCCTTGCTGCACTGGTCACTCAAACACGACTGCTCGCCTGACAAGTTTCCCAGGAAACATTTGTCTGTGATATCATCCTAGCTCGAAGCAGACGTTAAGCTCCACGGTTAAAAAGAACACTCGTGGCAGAACATAATGGCCTAGACTTCAACGTAGTGTTAGCATTCGAAAAGATAAAAGAAACGAAATTATAGTCTAATTAAAATTAGACTGAATTGTCTTTGATATTTTGAAATTTCTCTGTAGTTTTCTACTGTTTTATGTTGTATTAAGCAGTTAAACTTGCATTTTCCTTCAGGCCAAATGTCACTTGTGTGGTCATTGATTCAGACAATGCGTTTGCAGGCATTATTTTTTAACATATTGGCTGTGAACGTGGAGAGCAAAATGGGGATGAAACGATCTTATACGGGAGAACTAGATAATTTGAAAGTGTTTATTTGCTTTTCATTCTACCTCCCTGGTTAATTTAATATGTGAAAATGAACATATTGATTATATTTTGTATTTCCTATTTTACATTGATCGACAGATTCTATTGAACTCGGGTGTAGGTAACTTCACGTACTCTTCGTGAAACGGACCATGAAATGTAGAAGTACGATATCTCGCTTCTCGTTATTAGGACAAATACAATAAAACAAGTTTTGTGAAGCTGTGTCAGTTTATTTCTTTATAATCTGGAGGCTCAGTGCGGGGGGGGGGGGGGCATCAAATGGGCACAAAACCAGACCCTACTTTTTTAGAGTAAAATTTTGCGTAGAATACGATGCCGAATGGTAATCAGTCCGGGTTCATTTGCACTTAAAATGAATGCGCAGTCATTCTTGTATCATGAACATAAGCTGAAAATGATCGAAAGTAATCACTCTTTCAATAAAAATGTAAACTTGCTAAATTCAGTTTTGTTCTTTGTGACCCCAGGGGTCAAAAGGTCACATTTTTTTCCGTTTTAGCACTAGGAAGATTTAAAGTAATAAATGTCAGCGTAAAATATAAAAACTAAAGCGAAACCTGTTTTAATTAATAATAGGGATATTTAAAGGGTCTTAGCACGGAACAACGTAAAATATAAAAACTAAAGCGAAACCTGTTCTAATTAACGATAGGAATATTTAAAGTTTATCTTTAGGGGGTTCTAATTAATAATAGGAATATTTAAAGTTTATCTTTAGTCTTTAGGGGGTCTTAGCACCCCTCGCGCGCTGAGCCTCTGGTCTATTATAACAAAGCTCAGAGTAATACGCCAAGATAAGACAGTTTTAGGAAAATTAAAATGGCTCTGACTTCGGTACGCGACCAAAGCATTTTGTTTTATATCTTGAATTGCACCCATTTGTAATCATCCGTTACATATGTACATACATGGTGGGGATTATAAAAATATGTATGGTAGAAATTTATTGAATATATTACATTTAACAATGAATGTTTTAACCAATGACTATTGTATTCATAAATACGAACTCATATACAAATCAATTTATATCACCCAATAATAATTCTACAGTAGATATCGTTTGTGTGATAAATTTCATAATCTACTGCGATATCTCCTTAAAAAGGGACTATATTTTTGTATTTTAAAAGAACAGTTCATTTATTATTAAAAGTAATTTTTTTTTATAATAATTTTATAATCGTTTTTATTTTGCTTTTTTCTTTTTTTTATACGTGGACGTATATTGCCGTCGCCCCTGTGTGTGTGTGTGTGTGTGTGTGGGTGTGTGTGTGTGTGTGTGGGTGTGTGTGGGCGGGGGGGGGTGACTGTGTGTCGCCTACAGGCCACAATTCTTAAGTGATCAACTTGAAATTTTACATACTTATTCTTTATACCCTAAGGATGATCCCTATTGTTTTTGGTGTATACCCAATCCCAAGGGGCAGAGCCACCCCCATTTCTTGTATTTGTGTGTTTGTCGTCTACAGGCCTCATTTCTTAACTTATCATCTCGAAACTTTGCATTCTTATTCTTTGTATTCGATCGTCTTGAAAAAATTTCATATGAATGCCTTACACCCTAAGGATGATCCCTATTGCTTTTGGTGCATGCCCGACTTCCAGTGGCAGAGCCACGCCCATTTTTGTATATATTTGTTTGTCATCTACAGACCGCATTTCTTAACGTATCACCTTAAAACTTTGCATACTTATTCCTTCGATCCTAAGGAACATCCCTATTGTGGTGAATGCCCAACCCTCAGGGACAGAGCCACGCCCATTTTCTTTTTGTGTGTCTGTATGTCACTTACAGCCTGCAATGCTTAATCGATCGTCTTGAAACCTTTTTTATACTTATTCCTTATACCCTAAGCCTGACCTCTATTATTTTTGGGTTATGCCTGACCCCCTGGGATATGTATTCCTTATAGCCTAAGGACGACAACTGCATGTCCCGATCCCCATGGACAGAGCCACGCCCAATTTTTGTGTTTATCGTTTACAGACTGGAACTCTGAATGAATCAACTTGGTACTTGGCTTATGTATTCCTTATAGCCTAAGGGCGTCAACTATTGATTTTGGTGAATTTCACGACCCTCAGGGGCAGAGCCACACCCAATTTTTGCCTTTAGCGCCCGAAGGCCACAATTCTGAATGGATTATCTTGGAACTTGGTATACTTATTCCTTATACCCTAAGGACAGCAACTATTGATGTTTTCATTTCAATAACAGGGTGGTACCTATTTATATTGTTCCATATCCAACCCCAAGGGGCAAAGCCGCACCCATTTTTTGTATTTATCGTCTACAGGCTGCAATTCTGAATGGATCATCTTGGAACTTTGCATATTTATTCCTTATCCTGTAAAGACAGCAACTATTTATTTTGATGCTTGTCCCGATCTCCTGGGGCAGTCATACCCACTTTTTGTTAGTAGTTTGTATGTAAATTTGGCAAAACAAACACATCGCCTAGCCTTCTTTGCCTCTTATCATATTACAGCCATTTCATATTTCATTCTCTTCATTTTTAGAAGTACCATATCAATTAAAGCTGAAATGTGGACGTATATTGCAGCGTTAGCAATGCTCTCGTTTACTTTATCAACTTGTGTTGATATTTTTTTATATAAAAAAAAGACTCGTACGAGATTCTCTATTTATCACTTTAATTCAACCCAAACGTATTTTTTGTCTGGCAATGCCTGGCTTTCACATTGGCTTGGAATGTCACGAATCGTTCCGAATCCAAACTTTTTCTGACTCGTAGATAAATCCTAGACGGGTCTTGAAGTTCGTGAATGATTCTTATTTGGTTCTTACACATTCGTATTGTTCGTAGCAGTTTGTAGCTCGACCACGAACGTTTTTTTTGCCGAATTGCCACGGATAGGGCCAAATATCGTAAACTTTTTCTAGCTTTATCGACATTATTCGTGGAGATCGTAGTGTATTCGTAATTGAATTTGGTATATTCGCAAAGAAACTGGCTTATTCTTAACTGAATCGTTACAATTCGTAGATAATTCTTTCAGTTTGTACCTTTCTCGTAAGCCTATCTGGACATTCGACATATTTTACACCCAATTACCCACGAATTAAACCATACACTATTTGTAACTGCTTCGTAACTACTCCCGATTCTCCACGATTTTTTTTTTGCCGATTCGGCACTATTAGGGAGGATTCGTGGTATGCGTAGCCCACATGAAAACCAGGCATAAGGTTTTAATTTCCGGTCCTTAACTGTTATAAGGTGCTTTCCGCGTTTTCCGTATTTCCATCCGCCATGTTGTTATAATAATGCTAAATCAAAAAACTTATTAATTTACAACTAAAGCGAGCATTAAGCATATGTTTTTTAGATTTTATTCTTCAATTATCCTCATCGTCAATTGAAACGCCCCAAAGTGCTACAAGTAAGTATTGTGCGTAGATGCATACATTTGTTCATTCTCAAAACAACATCGTGATACTGATAAGTTAAAGTACACTAGAAGTTCATTTCTATCCCATGTTCATGGATTCCATCGGAGGGCTCTCTCCCCATTAATATGGTATGTTAAAGGACCACGCGGCAGTATAATAAATTATATGTGCTTACAATTCGTTCACCAATCTGATAAAAAAACCAAATCTCATTTCGTTCCGTATTTTACTGATCACATTTCGATGGGTTTTGTCATCAGAAAGCACCCAAAAAAAAGCAAATAGAAATTTATATCTGTATTTTAATCAGATTGACTAAATAACAAACAAATGATGAACATTAAAATTTGAAATTAATCTACGGTTGAAATATCACCGTTGTTATTTGAAAACAAACGATCCAAATCTGCGTTGGTTAGAACAAAACCCAATGACCTAAATTCGCTCTTAACGTTTAAAAATAAAGGTTGGAAAATTAGGATTAAATTGAACGTCTAACTAGGCGGGGTGCATATCTATGGGTTTCTCTTTTTAATTCTGTGACAAACTTTGGGCAAGTAATTATATCCCTAATTGAAAACTTATACATCGGGTATGTTCATTTTATTCTCTTGGGTATTTTCATCAAATGAACAAAATTGCAATTGATTACAAACAAATGCTATGCAAAGAAAAACATTAGTTCACTTGGTGATAAAATAGTGCTGGATACTATTTTCATTATGTACATTAGATAACATATTTTAGATAATAAATATATCGAGAATCTCAACTAATAATAATTTTTAAGGTCTAAATTTCACATAATGACTATTAAAAAAATTATATTTGTACATTAATATTGCCTGGAATACAGAGTAGTGGTTTAGATTCGGTAGTTAATAATACAATGAATTAAATAATACATTTGTCAGAGTTTGCAGTTTTGGTTGATCGTTTTTATTTATTTAGAAGGTTCAGCAATATTCTCTTTTATTAGAAATAAAGAGTGTTAAGTGCACAGAGGCTAGTTAAGCACACACATTTTCCTATATTTCAAACATTAATGACCATATTTTGTGGCACAACTATTTTGTGTTAATGTACATATTTATAATACAAAATCAATTGTATGATATATAACAGCTTCAGTCTCTGGTTCAATAAGTTTTGTTACATTCCTCCATAATGTCTATTTTACGAGACATTAATTTGATTTCTTATAATAGGTAACTTTTTTTTACAAATTCTAGAATTGCATTTGTCAGTAATTTCAGAATGTTGGTTTGGTCTTCAGCAACGAAGGTATTAGAGCTTTACAAAGTCCGCTTTCGTTTTCCAGGTCCATATGGGTCAAGGATGTGGTGACGAGCTGAAATTAAAATTTTAATTATATTAATATCCGACACGCACGTCAAAATTATTATAACAATAGAATATTACCATGATTGAACGTCAATCAAATTCAACTTCATAATTACAATAGTTACTATTTGTAAAACACCACAACGCTTACGACACTACACCTACACAATTATCTGGTAAATCACATATCCTAACCCGAAGCGATAAATAAATTGAATTTCTTAACAAAAAGAGCACACACAAGGATATTTTAAACTTTCGACCTGTGATGTTATACTGAATTTTATATAATTATATCGGTGAAGACACGGTTTATCGAAAAAAAGGATAAATAAAAACAGTAACAGAAACGGGCACAAAATCGTCCACTACAGAATTCAATAACCATAGACACCAGAAGACCAAACAGCTCTTTATTCAGTGTTCTTACTTCTTAGTTCTTAATTCATGGTCCTTAATTCTCATTTCTTCATTTGTTGTCGTATTTCGACATCTGTATACTAAAATTAACATTTGTATCTTAAAAATCAATATTTGTTTTACAAATCAGACACTTGTCATAACAAATTTGTGAATTGTATTTTTGTTTAATTTAATTGTATTTTAATATGATGATAAAATTTCTTTTAGAAAATCAAACAATTACATTTACATTTCATCAGAAACATACAACAAAATACAAATCTCGAAGAAAAAATTTCGAAATACAAATCTCCAAATACCATTATCAAAAAAACATTTTTCCAAAATCATCTAACCTCTATATTGTGATGGCAGAGGACGCTAGTGGTAGGCTGTCAAACGGCTCTACCAAACGATAAAACAAAAAATATGTATTAGGGACTATGAATTAAGAGCTAAGAATTAAGAACACTGAGTTGCCGTCGGTAAATCTGTTTTATGCTTTACTATATACAGTGCACTGCGGTTGTATGCAGTTAGCTTGAGGGACATTTTCTTACCAAATCACGAAAGTTTTATTATCATAGATAGTAGAAGTCTCCACCAAAATAAAAATTCTATGAAGATTGCAGTGTAGTTATGGCTTTGCCAGCGAATACAGGCTGAATGTAAGCTGCAACTCATTTGCCTATCTTCGTTTCAAAGTTAACGATAACTGATTATGTGTTCAACAGTCGCCATTTTTTTGCAAAAACGAATCTAAATATCGTCAACTGACTTCCGCTTAATCTTTCATATATAAAATGAAACCGCACAGAGCTTGCCTCATCATTTATCGAATTAATACACCTGATCCACCTAATTCATTCTCATCTCTACGATCATGAACTGTTCATTTAAATTGGCATGAAGTCCCGGTGAAAGTATATTCACCAAAGGACAATTATTTGAATATACATAATATATAATCCCCTTAACAATGAAACCGACAACACCACTGACGCATAACTTTAATTGTCTTCACGCATAGATATCTTTATGTATTATTAATACCTTTTCTTTATAAATGATAACAGGGCCAAAGATAGAATCTACGCTATATACTGATACCAATTCCATAGGGATACACAACAGATTGGCATAGGTCAATGTGATTGCATGCGTGTTGATATATTATAATATATTTATGGCAAAACAAAGATACCCAAGGGTACAGTTTATTTGCGACTGATGCAGAAATATAGATTTCCTATAAATTTTTAGTCTCCTGTGGAGTAGCAGTACACATCGGGGTAGGTCTCTGTATGTTTTTTTTTAGTTATGTAAAAGGTAAAGGGTAATGCAATATGGGTTGTCCCAAGGGAGAGCGTACGTGGATTTCAGAAGCCGTAGCTTATAAATAGAACGCAACCTCGAGATGTTCTTGATTTTTCTCACAAATGTTGGCCTTGAGTATTGAAACCGAGCCTCCATTCAGAAATCAGAAATAGTGATTTAACAGCCTTAATTCTAGTTCATTTATCTTTGCTATCGTGACTGACATCCACGTCGCTCTATTATATTCTTGTTTTTATCTTCTCTCGACCAAGGTTGGGAATTTTTTGTTGATCATTAATTCATAATAATCTATGCGTATACTGAAATATCTCCTTAGTGTTATATAAATAATTAATTAGTCATTTATTAACATGACAAGACCATAATCAACTCTCTAACCATTTTCGCAATTTTCAATGAATTGAAACCAGATCGTCGTTTTAATAATTTAATTTAAAATTGGATAATCGAGACTTTGTTTACTATCGTAACAAAGATAGCAATGACAATCGAGACTCCGCTATTCTCCAAATAGCTATAACTTCGCTGAGAATGAATTAATTTGACTGAAATTTTCAATTTTCAATATATTCATTTTTCATTATCTATTTTTACACTATTATAGCGAGAGCTACCAACACTTTAGCCAAATCTTACATAATGCATCTCTAAGCCGGAAAAAAAGCTTAAGAATCACTACACTAAGGACATGTGTCATTTCAAACAGCTAAATAATGATTAAAACAACTTACTCTCAGCTACACGAGCATAGTCTGATCCAGCTAGATGACGTGACATCAGTCCAAAATCTACAGAACCTCTTCGGTCTCTGAAAAAATTAAAGACAACGGTTATACTATAAAACAAGACCATGTCAAGACCCGTATGATCTCGTTAGAATAGTGAAATACCTTCATAGTTCAATCGGAGCTACGGTGAATATATATCTCGCGTACTACCCATCAGGAATCAGGTTCGATTGCGGTGTCCCTCGGGGGTTTCCGATCTGTTTTCCCCTTTTCAGTGGTGAGAAATAGTGGGATTGGCAAGACAGAGGTACCCATTGGTATGCACGTAAAAGAACCCATGATAATTGGAATTTGATGGAGAGTGGGCATAAAATTAATGAATTACGTAGGTAATAATGGGAGCATGAAATTAATGAATGACATTAGTGAGAGCATGAAATGAATGTGCTGATTGTAACCCATCACCAGTTGCAGTGATTATAGTATGCATTTCTGTTCTGAAGAATAAAATAAAGTATGGTGTTGGCTTATGCCAATACATCTATTAGATTACAACCTAAATTTCATTTTAGGTGGTCATTTTGCAGAACTATCGGTGCCAGGAGGTGGTCACGGTAGTACACACCAGTGACCCTCCATTGAAAAGTATGCAAGTCCGTTCTGCCAGTCATGGTGATTCCTCCCCACACCATAACAGACCCACGCCCGAATCTGTCATGCTGTCTGGCGTTAACGTTAGCATGACACTCATTTACATGCCTCCAAACGCGAGCACGCCTATCGGTGAATTCCAGAGTAAATCTGAACTCATCTGAGAACATTACACGCGCCCGTCGACGAATACCCCAATTTCTACGCTGACGTCATGTTGAAGACGTCTTATTGCAAATTAAATGTAACACACTAAAGCATAGATACGCTAAACAGTAAATCTTATGCAAGAACCGATAGGAAAGCAAACATGTATAGGATAAACTAGCACGCGGCAGATTTCATCAACCCTTTCTTGAAGTGTCAAATTTGAAAATGAACCCCTCCCACGTGTATGGCGCTATTGCGTGTCGCATGTGCAGCTCAGTGGTTCTGTTGGGGCGATAAGTTCTTCATCTGTGAACATACTCTCAAAGCATGTCAAATGTCCATGACTATTTATCATATCACAACCTGTATAGGTATTTGCATTTCAATATCTCCCACTTTTTTTGAAGAGTATATTTGAAATTAAAACACGAATTAGAATTCAATTTTGGCCCATTTCAATCGATATTGATGTTGTTATCTTACCATGAAAATATGGGATCCTCATATCAACTATATGAGTAACCACTACACAAGTCGTATATTCTACGAATATAAAGGTTTCGGGTGCCATTTGATATGATAAAAGGAAAACATATGAAAACATATCCCAGAAGACAACGCGGAAGTAATTAAAAATGGATGATTCACAATGCGTCTATTCAGAGTAACATACCAACCTGACGTTTCTTTTGCTGCTTAGTATATTTGAGGTTATTAAGAACATTTTAAATATACTATCCCTTTGAAGATACGATTATAACTAATAAAAAGGACGAGATAAAAGGCCAGACGTACAGCAAGTAATTTTCATTTGGATGTGTATTTACTTTTTAAAAATATCAAGAAGATCTATACGAGTATATACAAAACGTTTAAGTGGAATTCCATTAAGTTTTAAGTAGTTTCAACTTACCTTAAAACTTTATTTTTTAGACTACTTAGCAAATATTTTAGAGCTGAATCAAAATCTGAGTCTCTTAAAACTTCTTTTGTTCTGTGAATAAAGAATAATATGTTGTGATCTGGTTTATGATTGTATACATAAATTCAAACATAAAGAAATCTTCCGACAAATATGTATACAATTATAAAAAAATGATGGTACATTATGGTATATACATGTACACAACAATATCAACATTGCATTCTGTATTACCATATACTTCGCTGAAACCTAGTAAACCAATAAATAAACCTATACCAATAAGAGACATTTTACTAGTTATCTTGAAGGTGCCCTAGATTAACTAATTTTTAATTATGATGGAGATGATAACAGTTGATTCTCGTCATGCGAAAACATCTGAGAATACCAACTTCATAATAATAACAGTTGATCAAGTTCTCATAATAAAGTCCAATCTGATACAAATCATTTTTACTTGGAAAGTAAAGCAAATTGAACGAATTTGTGGGTGTTTCACATACATCTGAATTGGCAATTACAAAACTATGATGAAATTCTAGTAAATCTGTATTTATAGGCTGTGTATAGATACCCTCGATAAGTTTCAATTAGTCATAACATAAACAGTCCTCAGTTCGGTTAAGTGTCAGGTCCACTAAATAAATTCCGTAAAACGAAAGCTCTATACCCTTTTGCTAGTTACTTTATTTGAATACAGATTTAAACTCCCCGTGTAATGAATAGAGAACTAATTATAAAATCTTAAAGGGACAATAACACTCTTGCTGGCTTGAAAGCTCCAGAAAATAAATAATATCTCTATCTAAGTACTAGATGTTTAAGTGTCCTACCTGTTGTGTAAATTATCCATTACATCATATTTTACTTGTCCAGAGGGTTCGAAAATATTTTTAAATCGAAGTTTCATTTGAAAAGGTTTACGTTAGACGTTTCAAACCATTATGTTGAATTTTTCAAATTTTTTAAATAAGGTGTGTTAAGATGAAATTTGTATCCTCAATTAATTGAAATATTCTAAAATAGTACAATTTGTTGACCAGAATAAAGATTGGGACATATTATTCAGTTACAACAAGAGTGATATTGGGCCTTTAAATCAAGGTAAATATAGTAATTCTGCTGTATACAACAAGAATTGTAATATTTGTTCAATCCTACCAAAACGACGATGTAAACTGTAAAATACATATCTATTTTTTTTTAAATCCCTATACTGTTTTTTATTTGAAGGAAATTATCCGTATTGTCACAGAACTATCTGTGATTTGAAATAAACAACTCCTATATTTACCATAAAATCTGTTGTCTTAGTTGCATTTCTGTCTTTGGACAGAAACGTCGGTATTTGTACATACTTTTCAGTATATTAACTGATAGAATATGTTTATTAACATTAAAAATTGTATTATTAAACAAAAAACCTGTAATATTCCGGAATAACTTGTATATTAACGGCACTGTTCTGTTAATCCACAAAGTTGAACTGTTAATGCAGATTAACAACTGGGGCACTGGGCTATTGACAGTACATGTTAAAGAACCGTTAGCCCTAAACAGCAATATGTCGCTGATAGGATACTCCGCGGCATATGCAGGGAAGTTTCTGTATGTGATTCATCATTTTGTATTAGGGTTGTATTGAAAATTTTAAAAAATATAAGAAGAAGACACAGGAGAAAGTAATAAACCTTCAGAAATCACAAAATTTGAAGCCACGTCAGATTTCTTGCTCTTGTTTTTCTATTCATTTTTACTATTTTTGTAAATTCATAACTGAAACATTACATTTACAGAAATTAAATTATTTTTACAGAAAATGATTTTGTTTTATACTTAACCAAAGAACTACAAATATTATGGCAGCAGATTTACAGAAACATGCAATTGTGACTTAAAGGAGGCAAGTCGATAACCCAATATCATCCAGTCTTAGACATTGCAAACACGCTTATTGGTCAATTTAAATCAACATTGATGTTGTTATCTTACCGTGAAAAGATGAGCTTCTGATACCCAATATTTAATTTCCAGTGCCATTTGTAATGAATCGAATCGATGAACGAGGCTAAACATACACAACAGGAGAATACTACCGGTGTAGAATGGAATAACCAGGCGCCAAAGATTGCCATTCAATTTGGACTCTTCGCATATTTTGCCGAACATAACTGATTGGAAATTACAGTAAAAACAGAAACGATTGAATGTAAATCAGTTTATATACATTCATAATACATTCTAGGTGCCAAAGAACAGCGATTTAGCTCCTTTGACAGAAATTGTATGTTAAAAACCCACACAGAATAAATATAACAGAAAAAAATATCCAGTAAACCAGGTGCCGGAATTTTTTCTGTTTACTTTATAGAAACGTATATAAAACAAGTCAGTTGAACTAACGAAAATTAAGGATGATATGCATGTATCGATATACCACACTGTTTCACTAATTATCATAACACTATCATAAAACCCAGATACAAATTAAACTTAGACCTGTATTATGCTACATATCATATCCTATATATTAATAGAGATATTTACAACAGGGATGTCCCATAACCCTACAGCTGTTGGTATGTGCGCTATTGAGTTTGGTAATAGAGGTATTTTTGTATGCCAGGATTATGTCATATATTTTTACTACAGTTTGCAGATAGCCTATTAACAGCTTTGGTTGTTTAACTGCAGATACATATCAATCATTTGGATTTTTAAAAAATTAATCCCAGCAATATGTAAATCTAGATATAACTATAATCATTGTATTGCATTTCGATAAAGGAAAGGTAGATCTATAAATGCAATAGAATTGATATTGTTAGTTACTTTAAGTATCATGGATCTAGTTTCTCTTGTAAACTTAATTGCTTAATGTTAAGTAACAACTTTGATGCTAATATAAAATTCCATTTGAGGAAGTTAGGTAAAAAAAAAAGCTAGTCTCTGCAGAGCCACGTTGTTAAAGGGCCAATCCCGATAATTTTTGGGAGAATAAAACAGCTTAATTTTGTGTCAAAATGCCTTAAAACCCTCTACCTATGGGCCGAGCAAGTAACTCAATATTTGTGGTACGTTTGCAAACAACTTAAACCCGTCAGTCTTCATCTGGAAATGGAGACCGGTGTCCCAAACTGTATTATACGGCGTCTGGATAAAACCAGACCTTTTTTTATAAAAAATAATGTGTAGGTGACATTTACCGTCCGCTATCAAGTACAGCACATGGGTCATTCACTGTATAGACCTCTCAAGAAACGGGAATTGATTAACAGGTCACCCAACGAAAAAATTGACCCGAAATGTTAAAAGGGTTACGTGTCCGGATAAGCAGTTTTGACGTTCACGTCCAAACGACTCAATATTTTGAGCTGAAATTTTGAGACAAGGTCAATACACCATTCCTATATATGTTGGTGCTTAAATTTTTGAGACTGTTCTAATCGGGATAGTCCCTTTAACCTTGTCATGAAATTTGTTTCTAACAAAATAAATATTACTTCCCTATTGTACGGAATTCATTAGCACAAACTTAGACTAGTTGATGTCGCTCATGTATGTCATTTCTGGTTGTTTGTTGTTTTTATTTGCAATAATGTATATGTGTACCATAGGCCCAAAGCCTCCAGAGTAAATACAGATTATTAATTTTTTTAAAGCAAATGTATAAATAGATAACCAGATTATGATTTAGTAGTAAAAATCTAGCTGTGATAGTAATATTTGGACCTGATAATGGACACATAAAACAATGAGGGAATTGAATAAATCTTAAAGGTTAAATTAAATAAAGATAACATTTATTAGCGTAATTAATTTGTTAAAAGTGTTAAAGAGATGATGACATTTAAATAATAATTATAACATCGTGTGGGGGGTAATAATCTTAATTAGTGATATAAATATTATCATTAAATATTAATAATACTATGAGAAAATATCTGTCCAGTGGTTCCGGAAAATTTTAAAAAGCACTTTGTCGATCTGAATCCTGCCAATTGGTGTTTTGGGCGATGTCTTCAGTTGCCTTACTGTTGTTATTTTCACGACAGTGTCGATACAGGTAATATTTGAGAAGTGTTTTCTTTCTTACCTTTTACTTAATTCTGTGTATTTGTTGTTTTCTGCTCCAGAAATCGTTGTTATGGTTACAGTAAACAGTAATATGGAAAGTAAGATAAGTTTAGCCATGTTTTACAATTATTGCTTCCCGATGTCACCGGTAATCTGCAAAAAAGAAATAAACATAACAATAATAATACACTGACAATGAAAACACCCACTGTAATGATTTAAGTACTGGCGCAGATATAATGGAGCTAACCGGGAAATCAACGATAACCCACGGGGGTCATCACATCTTTACTTTAGGGGAAAAAAATAGGCACAAGGGGTAAAAATCAAAAGTAAGAACATATCTGGTGACGTCGACGCATGGATGCGATAGGACTCTAAATAGCTGTTTGTTTATGGGACCCTTCTCCACTCTCCTTTATACCCCACGTCTGCACCATAAATTCGTGATTTTAATTCTTTATGTTGAGAAAATTGATCTCTGGGGCGCTTACGCGATCGCGAAAACACCCTGTTCTTATGCTGTCGTGATCTGACGTTGTTACATTCAGAAATGCAAGATTAAAGTGTTTCTCACAAATGACTGTATTCTGTAATCTGGTTTCTAGTCTACGATCATTGAAAGCTATATTTGGCTTTTGAAAGTCCGCTCCCACTTTCTATTTACTGATTATAAAATTTATGAATATATTAACTACAAAATATTTAAAAAAAAACCAGAATTTCAAAATTTAACACAACAACAAAAAGAAGGATTAACACCTGTTCCATAATTTAATGGATTGTTTAGCGAAAACGCTTGTTTTGATTGTTTGGTGTGAATTTGCATGACAGAGGATTTTCCGGTTTCTCTTGTTTGACATCTAACTTTCAATGAAACATTGACGCGCACCTGTATTACCATTAGCAAACAAAAATAACCGGATTTTCGAAACAACGCCGGATAAAGAGTTTCATTTTCGGGTATTTTGTAATTCATTTGACCATGATCATTATGGTGGCCAACTTAGATTTGACAATGACCATTACGCTGGCCATCTCAGATTTGACAATAAGGTCTTACGTTTTTAACATTGCGAATAGTTTTATGGATAGATTGGCCAATATAACATATGTATAGAGACCAAACATGGTTTGGTGGCTATCTGGCGACCATAATGGATTTCACGTTTTCTAACTGGCGGTAGGATTTAATGGATTGCTTGGCCCCTAAAAACTAGGTATAGACATTTAAATTGTCCCCTAACATGAATAGGGGAGTAATTGTGGTATGTTATATGAAATGGTGGTCATCTACGACGCCATTTTGAAATTTACCCACCTTCCCCATGATTCAGAGTGACAACCCATGTTTTTTTTTACTCCCACGGGGGTCAACACGATTCAAGAATCAAATAGGGGGATATATAAATGCACACAGGACTCCCCTTCTGGGGTCATAACGCAGAATTCATTGGATTTGTATAGACACCAAAATCAACGTTCTAGGATGCTCATTGTGACAGTTTATATAGTTTGGTGGAGACCATCTTGGATTTCACAAAGACGTCTTGCGTTTTCCATTCAGCGGTGGTTGTAATGGATCGCTTTACCCTAAACCCAGGTATAGACACCAAACTTATTCCCCTAAAGTGAATAGTAAGAGCTTTATGCTCAGTTATATTGACTGGTGGCCATCTTGGACACCATTTCGAATTTCATGCCATAGTGATAGGATTTTTGAAATCTGTGGTATTGATTTCCTAAGGGTAGACACCATACTGGCTGGGTTTGGAGGTCAATATTTACACGTTGTTTAGGAATGAGTGCTCTCGTACGTGATTGGGCGAAGCCGGAATTATTCAAAATGGCGCCAGATAGTTTCTACAAGGGGTAAAGATGAGTAACTCCATGGAGGGTTAGTACTGGACCAATAGATCATAAAACGCTTAATTCCCGGAAATTCTGCACACTGGCCACGCTAAATTAGGATGCTGCAAAATTAATAGCATTAAACAAAGTCCACATTGCCCGCACGTTCTAAGTAATTGCATAAACGGTCCTTTGCACCATCCTTGTCAGTGGTGCAGGAGGGATGGAAAACCGAGGTCACGTGTGTACATGTTCGAGTAGGCCGACGTGCCGCTGTCTGGGCAAGATTTCCCTAATAACACTATGTATGGCGTATGGCCATCGGTGTAAAACAGTAGGGCGCTAAACACTATTTTATTTCATTTCATTTCTTGGTGCCACATGATAAAAGTCATTACCAGAAAGTTGTAAAATGATCCTTGTTTAACAATCAATAATACGTACTAATATATAGTGTCGTGGTAGACACCATAGACACAGAGCAATTATTGTTCTAAATGCAATCAATTAATACAAAGGCTATCTCTTAGAATGCAAAAAAAAAAAACCCAAAAAAACAAACAAAAACAACCCGCAAAAATCAAAAAAAAAAACAACAAAAAAAAAAATAATAATAATTTAAAAAATATAGTAATTGGTTACTTAACAATCCAACCTATGGCAATATTGTAGTTAAGTGCAAAACCTGGTGTGCAAAAAGTTAAATCGGGTAAATTGTAAAGAGACTGACATTCAAGTATCAGAATAAAAATTTCCAAAAATGAGACAGCGCAAATGTCACAGACATGCTATACTTAGCCACTGATTACTTGGAATGTGAATGGCCAAGTCCAGTTCCTTACAACGTATCCATGACATGGGGATAAAGCTGGCAATTGCTAACACTGTATCAGTACACCGAAACATTGTATTTTGTGTTCTCATCTTCACTCTGATAATCTGGCATATCCACACGACTGAATAAGCTGGTTAACTTTGCTAATCTTGTTCGCGTTTAATAAACACATTTCGTTGAAATAAAATAATATAGCATCGTTTTGTAGGCAATGTGTAATATTAATATGACAGGGCGGGTTTTTTTTTTACACAGGCTAGCCTGTTCCCAAATCCCATTCAGATATCCTAACTAGAAATACTGTTTAAAAAGCAAATATATGAAAGACCAAATTAACATACTGTTTACACACTAGTTAAATCTTTAATTTATAACTTCTGATATTAAGCTTATGTAAAATGTCCCAAGGTCGCCAAATTCGACAAGAAACCCTTTAAACTAACATATTAAGCTTGGGTTTGTATTTTTCTGGGAGCAGAGTGTACATATTTTCTGCAGCAATAATTAAGAATTCGAATTTTTGGTTGACATAAATTCACATTATTGGGAACATAATCGTATTTTTTACAACATGCCTAACTCTATAATTGTTTTCTATCTCTTCTGATTTGTATTTCGTAGATGCGATTGCCCTTTATTTTTTCTGTAAAAGCCCTTGGCAAACACAGGTTATGTAAGCATGAACTTGTGTTATTTAAGAAGCAGAATCACAAAATGTATAGTAGGCCTACTCCAAATACAACCATGTGAAATGGAAAACAAACTGAAAGTCTAAATCAATAAAATATTTCAAGATAGCAAATTAAACAAATAGTTTTCCCACACATTTCCATATACTAAACCAAATTCATTTAAGGCAGCTTAGGAACTTTATTCATTAGAAGTGAAATTTATAAATCAATGAAAAGAATAATAGACATTTTTTAACTTCCGGTGTCCTGGGAGACACATAGCCATTAATGGTTGCTTGATGGGTGCAGTTTCCGGTCTCAATTTTAACCTTGTTTTTTTACCAAAGACCTTTAATGCTAATGTAAATATTATTGCTAATACTTCAATAATGGCATTTTGGTTAAGAATTTTCGTAAAATTGTCTTTATAAAAGATGTCAAAGAGAATTTTGAACAAGTGTGTATTTAGAGCTTTTATGTTGGAAGTGGGCCTGTATCTCCGTCTTACTTTGAAATATGAAACTGTAAGTTGTTTAGACTAGCATCATCTGTAATACGGATATCAAAATAAGTGTTTATAGAAGAGCTCACTCGGTATATTATCACTCCATCAAAATCACGACTGCACCACGTCACGGAAAGCAAATTACACGAAGTACCGATGATTCCCCCCCCCCTTCCAAAGTCGAGTCCTGTTACTTAACTCTTGGATGCAAATAAAGTAAGCTAACCATTCAGACACGCTTTAAACGTATTGAGTATTCCCTGCATCACGGTCTTACAATGACATAATTGCACATCTCCAATTCTAATTGTGCCTAATATATAGAATTTTTTTTCTGAAAGGTTATTATTAAATAGGTTATAAAAACTATATTTCATGCCCTGCTCGCCAATTAATATTAACCAAAAAAATAATGAGACTTTTATATTTCTTTAACTTCGACATTTTTTTAGACAACAGCATAATCAATCTATCTCGAAACGATTTGTTACTGTTAAAGACCTTTAACAACATGAACTATAGGAAGCCCATATTTGACATTTTCTAATGCGCTGATATGTTTTTTTTTCTGTCAAATAAATACCTAAATTGAAAATACAATACCAATTTATTAACTCAAGTTTGTAGCGCAGTTCTCATTAAAGGGACACCCCTGCCACTTATTCTGATGAAAATACATTAGATGGTATATTTGTTGGATTCCTTGTCGTATTTCAGATTTATATTACAAACAAGAACTGGTCAATTTGTAAGGATGCTATAAACACGTACGGCCTCTTCCGCTTAAAATGACATTTGAGTTTTTTAAGTAACACTCGTTCAAAGCTGTTGCCAAACTCTTGCGTCCAACACTTCTTTTTTATTCATATTATTTTTTCAAATGTGTCGAATATATCTTTAAAATTTTGATATAAATCACACCAATTGCCACACATCTGTAACCTATAATATTACTGGTGATAACAAAGCATCATGCATGATACATTATCAGATATGTGGCCACAAAAACATGAAGATTGTACATCATTATGTGGCATGTGGAGGGCGTAGCGCAAGGATCGGTGGCGCCCAGGGCACAGCTCGGCTACCAGAAAGTGGCTAAAACGTAGAGATAATATACTGATGTGTTTGTTATTAGCTATGATTGGATGTCTAGTTTCGCCTTGCAAACTTTATGTCTTTATTAATGCATGTAACATCTTAAAAAAATAATATATTTTTAGACTTTTAGGACTAATTAGACATACCCGGTCCAGTGTAATGACATAACTTTCGATTAACTGCAAATATC